CACCAAAATAAACTGAATATAGTATCAAAAAACCCCCTTTGTAACAGAAATGCATGCTGTTAAAAAAAACAAAAAACAACACTAATACACATATGAACATGCTTAACCCCATTAAAGTAGAAAAAAATATGGATGAATGTTTTTCAATATCCTGGAACATGGAAGACATTTCTAAGCTTGACATAAATCTAGAAGTCACAGAGGAAAATATGATAAACTGACCATGTAAAAATCTTAAACTTCTCCATGGAAACAAAAGAGGGGAAAAGAAAAAAGACCAAAACCAGTTGAAAGAAAAGAAGTAAACTACACAAAAATATCTGTAACATGTAAGACAAAGGCCAATCTTCTTAATATTGGAAAGCTCTTAAATCAGAAAAAGACAAATAACCTAATGGAAAAATTGGCAAAGGTAATATTTCACAGAAATTAAATACAAATCACCAAATTACAAATGAAAAAACACTCAGCCTCATTTATAATGGAAGAAATACAAAATAAAACAATAATTAATGTTTTTCACCTACCAAACTGACATTGACTAAAGTTTGCTTATGCTGAGTTGGTGAGGGTAGAGAGAAATGGGCATTCTCAAACATTGTTGCTGGGAGTGTAAATTGGTTCTACCTTTTCAACAGAAACATAGTAATAGCTAGTACCATATTTTGCAATGTACAATGCGCACCCATGTTTTTGTGCACATTATACACAAGATTATTATACCTATAGTATGTAATCATTATACCCATGTAAAATGCAGATCCTTATTATTCCCTCAAAAATTTGGGCACAAAAGTATGTAATACACATGGCAAAATATGGCAATATGTAAAATATGGGTACTCTGTCTCAGTAGTTACAACTCCTAGGAATTTATCCTACAAGTATATTCTCACAATGTGGAAGATACGGAATAATGCTGGTAACTGCAGCATTTTTTTCCAATACTAAATTACTGGTAACAAACTTAAAACTGGTCCATCAATAGGTTAAATAAATTAAGCCATAGATAAAATTGAGCATAATGCGGTCATCCAAAAGAATGAGGCTGTGCACAAACTAATGTTGGAAAGGGGCCCAGTGTATACTATAAAGTGCGGGCAGGAGAAACTAGCTCCAGTATAGTATATAATGTGTACACAGAAGATTTCTGTAGAGATACAGAAGAAACTGTTAACTAGTGACTTAAGGGAAATGAGGGCTTTTACATTTTGCTTTATGCTATGCTATTTGAATGTTTTTAAAAGATCATCTATATCTTCTTAATTTAAAAAAATCACTTAGCTATTGAAAAGTACTTTCATTTTGGCTCTTATAAGGAAGAAAAAACAAGGAGTAAAAAGAAAGAGATTTAGGGCCATCAGTCTAAGATGTAAATTCAGCACAAATGGGCCTTCCTCCCCTCCCCCAGCCCAGCTCAGAAACTCTCAGACATGCCATCCCCAGGGACAAAAGTCAGAAAGAATACAGCCACTGCTGACCTTCAAGTCCATTCAGGACATAGGGCTGAGCCAACTGTGGGAATCTGAATTTGGAGCATGAATTGTCCATCACCAACAAATTATATCCTATGCCTGGGCAATAGCACAAATAATCCAAAAAAGCAAATTACATGGCTTTAGGTCACATGCATTTAATACAGATATAAAACATTCTACTTTATTCAACAAGGGGGTTTCTACAAGCCACTAAGTTAAGTACTAAGAAGAGAGCAAAAGTGAAATAAAACATGGTCCCTGTCACCAGGTCATTGAAAATCTAGTGAGGAAATGGAAAGATACAACCCACAAGAAGGCAGGCCCAAAGGGTAACCAGCTCCCATAAAGGTGCACAGAATAATTAATCATATTTGGAGGACCAGCGGTTTCTCAGAGCTGAAGAACCTGTAAGATTACCTGAACTTTTCCCTCTTTTCCACTTCCTTAAATCCTTTTCTCTACATTTATGTGAAACAGGTCAATCTGATGGTGCCTGCCCTGTCTCTTGTTGCTAGATTCATATAACTAAATACAGTAGAATCCCTTTTTGTGTAAGAAATCAATCAGTGCTAGGATATACTTTTCAGTAATAAATATACTACCATAACTATGTCTTTGATTAAAGTATTATGTCTTCACGAGTTGTTTTATCATACACATAAACGACTGAAACAGCTAAAAAATATCATAAATTAGCTTACAAACTACATCTTTCCAACTGTTTCTACATAGATTCCTTTTCATTCAGATCTTTGATTCAGAAAATAAGGTCTCTTGGAACAACGATGAAAAAACCAGCTTAGGACTTTAAGTCTATAATGGAAAGCATTCAATAACCTAAACACAAAAAAACTACTATTTTGTCTGCGTGTTTTTGTTTTTGTGGGTTTTTTTCCCCACCTATAACTGGTTCAGATGCAGATGGCTATCGAGCTGCTGCTGTGTTGGGGAAAAAAAAAGGAAAGGGATGTCAAAGAACTTAAACCTAGAAATTAAAGTGGTTTTTTTCCCCCGTTAGAGCTAGGTATACTTTTCAATATTCATTATAATACCATAAATATTTCTTTGATCAAAGTTTAACTTTTCAAAAGTTGTTCCATCATACTCATAAATAACTCATAAACCACATAAAACATACTGAACACACTTCTCGGGCTTTTTGACGTGTGGTTATAAAGAGCACAAGTTTGACACTGAAAAAGAACTGTGTTTGAATCTGAGCTCCACCACTTCCCAGCTGATCAACTTTGGCAATCACTTCATGTCTCAGAGCTTCAATTTCCTCACAGGTATAATTTTCCTACCTCACAGAGTTGTTGTAAAGATTAGCAACAATCTAAGTAAATCATGTAGTACACTGACTGGCACAGAGAGGCCATCAATAAATGATAGCTAAAGTAATCAGTATTACTACTAATTACTACTATGAACTTAACTCTTGAAGCCTTTGGGGCACAGGTCTGTTGAGCCACTTTGGGGGATGCAGAAAGCAAGAAGTAGAAAGTACAAAGCTTCTTTTATGCCACGCTTAAGAACAATGAGAACACATGATTTCAAACATTACGACAACTCTCAAAACACGTCTCAGCACTGGTTGAATATGTATATGTATTTATATTGATGCTCTAGAGTCTACTCCAGAAATTTCACTTTACCATTTACTAGCTGTAAGACTCCAAGCAGGTTGCTAAGAGATGCCCTTTCCTTAACTAAAACAGAGCTAATAACAGTCTGTGAAAGTATTAATACTTCATGGGGATCTTGTGACGGTTAAATAAAATGATATAACCCATGGAATGCTCTTAGCACAGCATGTGGCAACGGTAAGTACTCCAAATGTTAACTACCAGACCATCCATGAAACCCCTGGCACCCCCAACGAGTTACTGTAAGGGGTCTAAAGTGCTTGCAACACTAATATGCATTTCAGATATAAGTGCTACTTTTCAGTAGTATACAGAGTGTCCAGTGTAGCTAATAAAATAGTAATTATTTTGAGAGTTCTATTCAAGTAGCCTTTAAAAACATGTAGTAATTACTGAAAAATATTTAAACGATAGAGAAATATATAAAATAAAAAGAGTGTCCATTCAGTCCAGCCCCCACGTCACCTTTCTAGGGGAAACCCCTGGAAAGCACTGTGGTGGGCAACTTCCGATCTTTGTTTCTCAATATATTCATGAAGTTGGGAGGAGGAGGGATTAGCTTTTTCACAAAATGGGATCATACCACATGTATTATTTGTTTATTCAATAATATATCATGAATCTTTCCACATCAATGTATAAAATCCTAACTCGTTCTTTATAGCCACTGCTCAATGATTCAAATTATGGATAAATAATTTATTAATCTATTATTTTAGGTATTTAGCTTATTTTTAATTTTTTGTTATTAAAAATAATTCCAGCCCTGGCCATGTGGCTCAGTTAATTGGCGCATCATCCCGCACTCCAAAAAGTAGCGGGTCTGATCCCGGGTCAGGGTGCGTATGGGAGGCAGCCAACCGATGTTTCTCTCTCTCCCCTCGCCCTAAAGTCAATAAACATATCCTCAGGTGAGGATTCAAATAAATACATAAATACAAATAATTCCACAATGAACACTTTGTTTAAAGGGCATTCAACATATGTCTAGGTCTTTCTGTTGGACAGCTTCCTAAAAGTATATCTGCTGAGTCAAAGGTTTTACACATGTTAGATTTTGGTAAGTACTGCCAAACTGTCCTCCAAAGAGAACATAAATAAAACAGAGGACAATGTGCTCTTTGTCATTAACCATCTGCTTAAACCATAAGAACAAAAAGTACACTATCATGTGGAGAAGCCATACATTCTTTTCCATATGGAAAGTGGCCCTCATCTTCAAAAAAAAAGATCAGAACTAACAATCCACTATCCTCCTCAATGCCAGAGCTACTTACTAAACTCTCAACATTACTCAGATTCTGACCTTTCCTGCAACGACCTGGCTCATGTCAAAACCAGTTTTCTAGTGCCCTGCCCCTGCCCCCAGTCCCTAGGCCAACTGGTTTGGTGTGGAGGATGGTGGGAAAAAAAGACTAAAGCCCTGAGGTGTTGCTAACATCACCTAACAGCCTTGCCAATTCCCACTAAAACAGAATTATTCTATTCAGTGTTCATTTAAAAGCTCTACTATGTTGCTGTTATAAAGCAGCAATGGATTAAAACCTCTTAATCAATAATCGCTGGCCTACAGGTAGTTTACAGGTTTCATTTTACGCCACAATATTATTACAGTGAAGAGCAAGAGCAGATAAAGGTCATGTTGGTAATTAAAGCTATATTATAGAAATATGCACACCCAAGATATGATTAAATAAGAAAATATTACTCAGTTGAGTATCATCATTAAACTTGCATTAATTTATAAATATTTAAATGTACCATATGATCATCATAAATAATCTGATTTTGTCAGTTTCTAAAGTAATGTAACCCATAAGCCCTTTGAAAAATTACTGCAGAAGGGAAACAGTCAAAGTATACCAGCCAAACTTACATTCAAATGCTGTGGTGGTTGCTTCAGGCAGAACCTGGCCTATCACATCCTAAACAGAGAAAGAATAAAGAAACACAATTAGCCATCTTCTTTATTGCTAACATGTGGCAAATCCTAGAGGAAATATGAGAACCTGGAAAAGATTTTTGACATGATGTAGGCATAAACTATAAAAACATTAGCTCATAATCACACCTAGCCCAGCAATGTAAACCCAGAGCTTAAAGCTCTACTCCACGTGGGGTTAGGAGCTGGGGGTAGGAGGAATCTTTACAAAATCTTTTCTACTTTATATTAACATAATCTTTCACTCTCAATTCAACAGTGTATAAAAATACACTGTTGTGTATTTACAAAATATTTGGTTTCTTCTATAGAAGGCTATGGAATGTATTACAGTAGAAAGAGTAAGGACTTTGGGAGGCAGACTGGCCTGGGTTTGACTCTCAGCTCTGCACTTACTGTGTGACTGGGAACAAATTACTTAACCTCTCTGAGCCTCAATCCAATTATCCTCCAATATGGGTCCAATAATACTTATAGAAGTAATATAAAAATTAAATTAAAAGTATAATATAAGCTAGCCTAACACATTGTAGACATTCAACTAATGTAATTCCTGATATGTAACTAGCAACACCCTGACTTGCATTCATAGTGGGAAAAGCTCAAAAAACAAGTTTCTGTGATGACATAAACCTATAAAGCCACATTTAATATAAACAATTCATATCAACCTTTATTCTCAAACAACTGAAAAATATATATTTAATGACACTAAAATTAAGGCGGTCTAGCTTACAATAAATTTTTTTAAACTGTATATAATCTGATATCAATGTTTAAATGAATTTATGAAGTTGAAAACACTTGAAAATTAGTCTACAGAGATAGCTTAAAGAGGCCCAGAGCACCTTCAAGAGCTAGTCAGTTCTGGGAAAAGTGATCCTCCACTGTGTCCATTCAACCCAAATGGCCCGTAAACCTCACTGCTCTCGGGCAGCTCGGCCACAACGCCCACAACGTCCCTCCTGGGCTGTGCCAGAACTGGCACCAGGCAGCCGGCTGCCAAGACCAGCAGGAAGTAGTTCTCAGCAGGGAGCCCACAACCCCTCCAAGCGGGGCACTTAGCAGAGTGGCGGCTGCAACTTCCTTCTAAATGCAGTTCTTTAGAAGCTTTTGCTGCAATGTCAATTTGCATAATAGCCTTGCCTCTATGGTGCTTTCTTCCCCCCCCCCAAAATAAATCTGCATATAAAATTGATCAAAGGAAACTATCTTAAGCAGCTCTCACTTTTAGGGCCAAAGGAGATGATTTTTCTCTCTGACTCATCTTAGCAAGTGAAACATCAACTTTCAGAGGAATTATTTGTCAAAGAATTTAGTGTTAAAAAAATAATAATTCTTTCTAGCCCTGGCCGGTAACTCAACCGGTTAGAGTGTCGTCCAGATATGCCAATGTTGCAGGTTTGATCCCCGGTCAGGGCACATGCGAGAATCAACCAATGAATGCACAAATAAGTGGAACAACAAACTGAAGTCTCTCTCTCTCTAAAAAAATCAATAAATGAAAAAAATTTTAAGTCTACACTGTGCATAGAAAGTATTTATTGACAAGAGGGGATGGGGAAGGAGGACAATGGTGGAAATATATATATATATATATATATATATATTTGTTTAGAAGAAACTAAACAAAGAACATGTATGAATGACCTATGGACACAGACAACAGAGTGAGAACTGACTGTGGGAGAGGGGGTGGGGTGGGAAGGGTGGGATGGGCGGAGGAGGGCAAAGGGGCAAAATATTGAAACAACTGTAATAGTATAAACATGATCTTAAAATAAAATTTAAAAAATAAAAATAGGAAAGAGAATATATATTGACAGGTAAATGGAAACTGTAGAGCAAGTATGAAATAAAGCACACAGGCCATCAGCGTAAAGCCTGAGAGTGTGGACTGGAGCCAAACTGTTAGGGCTGGACATTGGCTCTGCCGCTCACTAGCTGAGTGGCAAAGCCTCAGTTTCCTTCTCTGTAAAATAGGATAATAACTGTACCAACCTTGTAGGGCTAAATGAGTTAATATTTGTAAAGTGCTTAGAAGAGTACCTAGTACATACCTGTATTAGTGTCTGTTAAATAAAACAAGTCACTGACAACTGGAACATTACAAAGCTGATCTCATAAGGAAAGCTTAAATTTCAGTACCCAACAATCAGCAGAGGACGGTCACTCATTCACTTACTTCAGCCTTCCACAGTACTTACTGAGGACCTTTGCTAGCCAGTATGGGTAAAAAACAAAAAAGCAAAAACACAGAGGACTCTCCTCCCAACCCTCCAAGTCTAGGATATCACTGGTTACTTCAGGAACTCCGATCATTCAACCAATCTTGAGATATGAACTCTACAGCATTAGCAGACTCATTTAGGGCATTTCCTACTTATAAATAGCAGACCTCATCCAACAGCAAATCTCTAATAACTGGCTGAAAACCCTACTGAGCAGCAATGACATCTTTTGCCCATCAACATAAACAAGGAGCCAGATGTGCTTTACATTTAATGTCGGGGGAAAGGAGAAAGAAAAAGCAAACCTGCCTGAGAGAATCATCTTGTTTTGTTAAAGGAATCGAAGGGAGCTATCATAATGACCAAACCTAAAAAGTATGAAAATTGGTATCTACTGGTCATCTCTAAGCAGGACACTTTAACAATTTTATTCATATTTTCCAGTTATATTTTAAGTGACTTATTTTGAAGCAACCCAGTCTTTTTTTCAACATAACATTTACCTACCCTAAAGAGGTTTCAAAGAAAACTTGTTTGAATATCTTGATAACTATCATTTCTTCATCCTTTCCTTCTCCCTCTTTTCAATAAATCAGTCAAAAATCTGACAGACCAAAAGTGTAAGTAAGCATCTACAAAGTATCAGGAGCACAAAGAACACATAGCTTTAGGTGATAGAAAAATAAGATTTAGGAAGATTATAAGCTGGTCACAGAGATAAAGACAAATCTAGAACATTAACAATCCAGAGTACTTACAACATAGTAACAGCCAAGCCAAGCCAAAAAAAAAAAGAAAAAAAGTAAGTATCAAGTAGTATTTGCTAACTCAGGAGGAAGGAAAAATTAGACTCAGGATAAACAGGAATTTCACACAGATGGGGGCAATCTGACTTGGGACTTGGGAGACAGGATTGAAACAGCAAGAGGAAAGGGGTAACATGCTCTCCTGCCACTCGCTAAATCAGGAGGTTCCGAACTCATGTACTATTTTCCCAGAACTGTGGACTATGTCTCCAAGGAAGAAGAGAAACACACAAAGCTGAAAAACAGATAACCCGAATGTCTCTGCTCTTGAGCACCACGTAGGTCTACTACATGTTGCAGCCAGTCCCTAATTAATTCAGACAAAGGGCACAGGCCCAAAGAGGCCAAATGACTTGCCCAGGGTATCCAAACTATTTGACAGAGCTGTGACTGGGGCCCTCAAGTACTGACTCCTGTCCCAAAATAATCTGTTACAGTTGACTCAATGACTACATTTTTTTTTCTGGCTTCTGTGTCTGGTTCTACCAAAATTTAGCTGTATGACTTTAGCATTTTCCCCCTCTGGGGTTCATGCTTCCTTCATTTGAAAACTAGGGTGAGGAGGGTTTTATTAGATGAAGGAGATGCTTTCAGGTTTCATTTGGCTTTAATTTGTAAAGTTCCCAGCCAGAGCTGCTGATGTATCTGTTGGTATTTTGCCAATTTCTTGATGAGCAGATGAGATGAACCTGGAAAAGAGCGCGGAGGAGCCCTCCAGGATCTGGGCTTCAAGTCCCAAGGACTTTGAAAAGCTCTAGGAGGCAGGGCAGCAGCCACTGCCACAAGCCCTTCATCCAGCCTTCCTGACAAAACATGCTGCTCCTGTGCTTACGTGGGCAAGCATGTGTGAGGACACATGGCGCTCTCTGCTCTAGGCGGTGGGACCGTTTGTGCAGTTTACTTGTAGGCCAGTCAGTCTTGACCCAAAGTACAACTGAGAGATACTTGAGAATCAGAAGACCCAGACCCTATCCCTTATGCCATAACACCACCACTACAGAGCACTTACTCCGTTCCAGGTTGTTCTGAGTGCTTTATACGAATCAACTCCAGTAGTCCTCAGCATTGGGAGGTAGGCACTATTCCTATCCCCCAGCCCTTTTTCTTTTACGTAACAGATGAAGAAACTGAGGCAAAAAAGACACTTGCCCAAATGGGTCTGCTAGGGTTAGCAATTTAAACCTGGGAAGCCTGGCTCGAGAGTTTGTTTTTAAACATTGTACCATTCTACTTAATAACTTCTGGCTTCTCAAATAAGTGAAAGAAAGCTCATGCTTCTCTCATCATAGAGGCAATCTCATGTAATTCTCACAAGTCTTTGAGGTGGGTATCATTATCCCTATTTTACAAGTAAGGAAACTGAGGCTCAGAAAGGTGGAGTGATCTGCCTAGCTAGTGGAGGTGCTTGCCTTCCAGGGGTGTCTAACCCACGGCTTGTGGGCCGCATGCAGCCCAGGATGGCTATGAATGTAGCCCAAAACGAAATCGTAAACTTACTTAAAACCTTTTTTTTTTTGCTCACCAGTTTTCATTAATACACGTTTGTGTATTTAATGTGCGGCCCCGAGACACCAAAACGTTAGACACCCATAAAACCCAATTTTTTAAAATTCAAAACCTAGTGTGCTGCCCACAAAACCATAATTGCATGCATCCTCTTTGAAGCTCCCTCATTAACAAATATTTCAGGGTCCTATGAAGCACTGGAAACAGAGGGGAACCAGAGATGGCCATCTCCTCCGAAATTTACCACCTAGTAGAGACAAAATTATGACACAACCTGTGTGCTTTGCTGGAACAAAGCTGTGGGAACACAGAGGAGGGGCAAGTAACCAAAACTAGCATGAAGTAAAAGTGAAACTGGGCTTTGAAGGACGGGTAGGATTTGGCCAGCTGAAGAGGGGCCGAGCGGGCATCTGGGAGAACTCAAGGTTAATTCTAAATGCCTAGAGCACAAAATGCTCATTGGACTGTGATGAGAAATGAATCTAGTGCCAGGCAAGCATGAGCCAATCTAGATGGGCCCAGAGGACCTTATTAAGGACTCTGAACCTTATCATGAGGGAAAACCTGTGTGCATGTGAGTGTGCAGAGAGCTCTGGATGCAAAGACAAGGACGGCATTTGGTGTCCATGAGTGGAGGCTGCTGCTTTATCCTAGCCTCTGCACTCCTGGCCCAGACACCTGAAAATCTGTATAGTCTGAGTGGTCCATGACATCCAGAACTCAAAACAGAAGTACAGAAATCAAATTTTGATTGGATAGCCATTAACAACCAAAAACCGCATCACAGACAGTCCTCCTGCCCAGAACCTCCACCAGCCCTATCTCATCTTGCAGCTAAGTTCCACTATAGATCTGGTGCTTGCCATGTGCCTGTTGGTATGTCAGCTCTGCCAGTGATACCTCAGTGATTCGAGAAAATGGGCACAATACATTGTCTGACTCAAATGAATGCTAAAAGATGAGAATGGCACTACAGTGTGTAGAAATAAATACTAAGTAAGAGTAAGGAAATCTGAGCTCTGGTACTGACTCCCCAACTCACAAGCAACAGAGCTTTGGAAAAGTCATTTCACCTCACTACTCAGTAACTATCTGCAAAAAAGATAAGAGGGCTCAACAGGCGACCTGCAAGCAGGTTACACTGTGCCCTTACATTCCATGATTTTATATCAAACACATTCGGAATATTTATTATGAAAGCAAGAATGCATCACTGATTCTAAAATGCACATTTTCCCCCTTCTTTAATATCTCTGAAATCAGATTGTTTTTGTACAATATGTGGCGTGTCGGTTTAATGCGCAGTGTTTTTTTTCTTAGTAGGATATAAAAATATTTTTAAACCAATGACACCTTATGTTTGATGAAACATGACAGGGTACAGCTGCCTTGTTTCCCTTTCCTGCTGGTCACCAAGTTCAGGGAACTCCGTGGAAAGACATGGCTGGAATCTGGCCAGGGACATTCCAAGAAAACACTTGAATAAAAACTCTCTTCTAGACTCAACTTTTTGTATCCCAGTTGGGTGCTTCTGTGCCTATGTCCCAGTCCAAGCTGTGAGCTACTTGAGGGCAGGGGTTCAATCTGATCATCTCTATATCCCCAGGGCCCTGCACATTTGCCAGATTTCAGCCCATGCAACTAATCAATGCAAGTGGCTGAAGCAATAAAAACTGCCCCTAAAGGAGGCCAGAAGTGGCCAGGCCACTGCCACTAGCTCCGGCCACAGAGTCAGATGCTGACTATTCCACAAATCCCTGCGCCCCACTCGCTGGGATTTGGACTCTGAAATTAACACTCACCAGCACATCCCTGAAGAGTAACTGCGGCCCGGAGTTCACTGTCCAGTCCACTGCGCCCCTATTTGGAATCTTGATGCGAATCACCAGCACCTGGTTCTCCATGGCATGGAAGGGGCCAAAGGCCAGCCACAGCATTACAGGTTAAAGAGGCTCACATCCTGGGGTAGGGGGTACTCATAGCCCCTGGTCAGGCGGAGGCTCCAAGGGGTGACAAGCGGACCGAGGGGGAAGAGGACGGAGGATGAGGAGTATCAGAGAGGTGGTGTGACCAAGACGGGGCCCGCAGGCACCGACCCAGGCCCTGTCTGTATGGGGCTGAAGGATGTCTCCCTGTGAGCGTGGACGGGGGTAGGGGCAGGGACCAGTAGGAACTAGCGGTGGTCGGAAGGTTCTCGAGTTGGAAAAGAAAGCAAAACGGGACAGTGCAGCTCTCGGTCGTCAGTGTGGGTGTGAGGAATCGGCAGAGAGAAACCCCCGTTTTAGGGGAATACAGCGGCAGGTGTCCACTCCTCCTTAGAGGGCGACGGGAGGGTCCCAGACTCAAGGGGACTCAGTCCAAGGCTGTTAGGAAGAAGCCGCGGGGCCGCCAGACTACGAGAAAGCGGAGGGTAGGGGGCCCTCCGCGGGAGGGTCGGGGCGAGTCCTCTGCCCCAAGCCGAGCCACAGGGCGCGGCGCACGCGGGCTCAGCCCCGGGCGTCCGAGACCGCACGTCTCAGCGGTGGCAGCGGCGGGAGGAGAAGGAGAAAGGCGGCAGCGAGAGCACAGTTACTCCGGAACCAAAATGCTCAGCGCCGGAACCACGGGAACCGGCGAGCAGAACCCGCCCCCTGCGACGCCATGTTGGAAGAGGGCAGCTCCAGCCCGGCCCCGCCCCCGCGCCCGGCGGGGCGGGACCTGAGAAGAAGGGCCCAGCTCCGGGGCGAGAAGGAGGGGACGGACTGAGTCTGCCCTTTCTTGAGATCCCGAAGTAGCCCAGTGACCGCCAGGGCGTCTTAGTGACTGCGTTTTGTTTCCCGACCCTCGGTGGAGACAACGAGGTGAAAACGTCTAACAAACCAAGGAGGAAACTGAACCAGCGCTGTAGTCCGTCGTAAACCAATGGCTGCTGAAAATTGTATACTGTTTGTCTTTACGGACTCCTCAAAAAGCCAGTGCTGCCGCTCTCGTTTCTCGTGGCTTTGTCAAGCCTCGTACCAAAACATTCGTGGGAGTTTGTGCACCAAGTCAGCAAGAGCACGGAAAAAACTAAAAAAAATAGCTGTCTTATCCTTTTCCTTGCGAGTCACAAATCCAGAAGCTTGTCAACTTTCCCCCACATCAGCAAAGCTTATGTGACTCTTTTTCAGTGAGATTCTCTACCGCACGATTGCTCGGAAATAGCTCGGAAATAGCCTACAGAAATGCAGAGCTTTAACTGCCTGGAGACAGCTGCAATAGTGACATAATCTCTTATTAAACCGTTGCAAAAAATATCTGGTCTAGTCCATAAATTGTCAAGTAATAGCAATGTTTACGCAACGGATGATGTCACAGGCAGTAGAAATAACCCTTGGTTATTTTTAAGTGCCTTGTTAACCTCAAATATTAAAGCAGGTAATTTTGTTGCCTTTACAGACAGACGTTTGTTTAAAAATTGCAAGTGAAGGTTTGTCCTTACGTCTTTCTAATGAAGGAGCACATACCATTTTACTTTGGGGGCTGAATTCTGTATAAACTGGTGGGAGAAGTGTCATTTTTTTCTAACAGTCAAAGAGCTAATGCAAGAGGAAAAATATTTTAAATGTTGGTTAGCTTCAGTATAGTACCAAAAAATCTGCATATATTTTCTCTGCCTCAGTTTCTCATATTTAATCTGAAAGTCTATTGTAGGAGACAAATGATCTCTTTTCAGTTACTGTAGATTAGTAGCTGAGGTAGAAATTCATTTACTCAGATCCTCCAAATATTCTAGAAATTGCACCTTTCCACCTGCACTTCTGTCCTGTTAAAAATAAATGATTTGCTCAAGGTCCCCATGTACTTTTTTTTTTGAAAGTTCATTTCCTATTATTAGAGAATAGAGACCTCAAAACTAGAGATTTTCTATGAACCTATGACTTGTTAAAACGGCTTTTTTATTCAGAGTACTGTGGGGAAGACCAACTCAATTTATACTTTCAGTTCTTTTGGGTATATATCCAGAAGTGGAATTGGTGAATCATGTGGTAATTCTCATTTTGATTTTTTTTTTTTAGGAACCTCCACAATGTCTGCACCATTTTATATTCCCACAAACAGTGAACATTCAAATGGATGTGAGGTTTTGATTTGCATTTTCCTAATGATTTGTGATGTTGAGCATTTTTTCATATGCTTGTTGGCAATTTGTCTGTCTTCTCTGGAGAACAGTCTATTCAAGTCCTTTGCCCATTTTTAAATCCAGTCATTTACCTTTTTGTTGTAAAGTGAATTTTTTAATAATAAAATTACATTTTACTATTATAAAGTCAGAAGGGTTTTCTTTTATCTCTTTTTAGCTCGCTCTCAATCATAAATCACTCACCCAGAATCTGACCCCTTTCTACCACTTCACTGCTATAGTCCAAACTACTGTATTCCTCTCCTGTTTATACCCTTGCCCCTACTCTTAACAGTCTATTGTCAACCCCTTTGCCAAGATTAGATCGTCACTCTTTCAATGAAAATTCTTCAGATGGCTTCCTAACTTGATCAGAATAAAAGCTAAAGCCCTTGACTTGACCTATAAAACTCGACTCATTTGTACTCTACAGCTTGTGAAGTCTCAAATCTCATCTCCTACAACTTTTCCTCATTTTCACCAGCCTCCTTTTCACTGTTCCTTGAACATAGACATCCCACCTCAGGGCCTTTGCATCTGCCATTCCTTCTGCCTGGATTGCTATTACCCCCAATATCCACATGGCTCACTCCCTCACACTCTGCAGGTCTTGATTGAAATGTTACCTTCTTGCTGAGGCTTTCCCTTAATGCACTGTTGAAAACTGCGAACCAGCCCCAGAACCGCCCCACCCAGTGATACAAGTACACTGGTGTGCACGATTTCTAGTACTTCCCTAGTTAATTTTTCTCTTGAAAAATTCCCTTATTACTATTTAACATGTCACATGTTTTACTTATGTGTTTGTCTCCCCACTAAACTGTAACTTCATGAGGAGATGGAACTCTATGTGTTGTATTCACATACACACTTACTCCTGGGCACTTGAATAACTTTTTGAATGAATGAGTGGATTTTGAAGGCAAAGCGAGTAAATAATAGTAATGTAACTACCATGCCCCTCTCCTGCCTGTCTTGAGCCTCACTTACTCCTTTGCCTTTCCATCACCACCACCAAGACTGAGACACCATTATAGGCTCCCACAGAATGGCGAATTAACAAAATCTTGACTGCTTCCTATGTTCAAGAGTCACTTCTCACCTTCAGTGCTGAATGTGGGCCCTTGCATATAACCCTCAAATATGAGGGGGGACCCCCCAAAAAACATGAATTATCTTCTGGAGGGCAGGCCCCTTGTAGTACAGGATTTCCCTGCCTCGTGACTGTTCTAGGAACCCATCTGTATCAGTGTACCAGCCGGTGTGGTCGTGAGAGGCTGCATTTGGCTTCAGTGAATTTTTTTTTTTGAAGACTTTCAACCCATTTGCCCATTTCATGATGGGTGGTTTACGAGGGCACCTGCCCACACCGCACTGAGTGCTCATCAATTTTTGACAAAAAACAGCTTAAACCCCATGCCCCACACTTCCTGTTCACCTGATCTTGCCCCAAGCCACTTTTTTTTTTTGTTTGTTTCCCTCGATGAAAAATCCTCAAAGGGGAATGTTTTGCCAATGTGGAAGAGGTGAAACAAAAAATGGCGGAATCACTGAAAGGCATCAAAAATCGACAAGTTCAAAAACTGTTTTGAGCAGTGGAAAAGATGCCGTGATAGATGTATTACATCAAATAAAGAGTACTTCGAAGGCGACTGAAGTTTAAACATGTAAGAATAAGTACACAATTTTTATCCATAAATTCCAGGGGGTTTTGGTTCCCCCCCTTTGCAGATGTTGATTAATTGATTTTTAAAAATAGAAGATGAGTGGGGGGTAGGCAGAGACAAATGTATTTGAAAAAATAAAGTCTAAAAAAAAATAGAGGATGAAACAGTAATTTTCCATTGGAGAAATCTGGCTGATACCATCCTATCCGAATGACCAAGGTTAACATCACTAGTTATGTCATGCGGATATCATGTACTCTCTGATATGGTGCAATAAGAAGGACATTTGACCTCTGTGTCCTTCTCAAAGACTCATAACCCTAATCTAATCATGAGAAAAACATCAGACCCAAGTTGAGGGACATTCTACAGAATACCTGATAAGTACTCCTCAAAACTGTCAACATTACTGAAAAGAAAAGAAAAGGAAAAGGAAAAAAAAGAAAAGGAAAGAAAAGAAAAGAAAAGAAAAGAAAAGAAAAGAAAAGAAAAGAAAAGAAAAGATCAAACCTGTCACAGACGTGAGGAGATGAAGGAGACATGATGATTAAATGTAATGCAGGATCCTCAATGGGACCCTGGAACAGAAAAATGACAGTAATGAAAATCTGGTGAAATCTGAATAAAGTCTGAAGTTTGGTTAGTAATAATGTACCACTGCTGACTTTTTAGTTTTGATATATGTACAATGATTATGTAAGGTGATATTAGGGGAATCTGGGTGATGGTATACAGGAACTCTGTATTATATTTGCAACTCTCCTGTAAATCTAAAATTATTCCAAAATAAAAAAGTAGTTTTTAAACAGTAAGTTGCATTTTAACACACCAGAAATAATGTCTTAGAAACTTTAATTCTAAAACAATATAATTTACAATAGCAGTAACAACCAAACAATAAACATCAGCATTTCCCTCACAGTGCTTAGTTATCTATTAGTTTTTTAAAGAGAAAAATGAGAAGCATAGACAAAAATGGTTAGACACAAATCCCCGAAAGTGTGACAGGAAAGCCTGTTCTCTTCTGTTTGGGCAGGAATGGAAAAAAAAACAACCACCCAGTGGGACCAATTCCAGCAGAAACAATAGTTCAACAGATACTCATGAAGCGCCTACTATGTGCCAGGTACTATAGATTTTATATGCTTTAAAATGAATTAGTTCATTAATTTAAAGATTCATTGGATTTAATTTCCAAATTATACATTTTCCTTGAGGTGGAGTACACTGCTGTTCCCCAAATCACTTAAGCTTTATTATTTCCCTCTTTTCATTGTTTAAACATTTCTATATTATTTTCTTTATATCCACTAACAAAATAGATCTCACATTTTTGTGGCATTTTACAGCTTGCAAAGCACACATCTGTTATCTAACAGAATTATCCTGTGCATTACAGAAAGTATGGAGTGATGGTTAAGAACATGGAGACTTTAGACAGAATGCAAGGACTGGAAAAAAACACTCACCATGTTTGACCTTGGGAAAGACTTCTTGGGTTCTACAGCTAAAAAATGGACATAAAAATAGTGCCTAATTCATAGGGTTGCTATGAGAGGATTAAGTGGATTATTTTGTGTGAAGTGCTTAGTTTAGGACCTGACACAAATGAATGCTACATGTTAGATAAAGTCCTTATTGTATACATGAAGACGCTATGACTTAGAGAGCCCTAATTTTTCTCATTCAATCAGTAATGCTCTCCGCATTACACACATACTGGAACAGAAATAAACTAGCACCATTGGGAAGCAGACAAAGTCATTC